CGCTCGCATACCAATACCCCGCCTCCCTCGGCCCCTCCACCGCGCAGGCGCGGCGCTGCCGCACGGCGCGTGCGCGGCGACGAGCCCCGCCCCCGAGGCGGCCCCAGACGGAGGGGCTGCGGCGGGCTGGTTTCTAGCGCTTTAGCGAGCCTCGAAGATAGGGGGTGGGGAAGGAGGACAGGTCCCCTGCCCACACCCACGCCCCCCGCGATGTGGGGGGGTTAGGAGGCAACAAGGAGGCGGGGAGAGGAATACCGATGTCCCCAATCGTTAGGGAGAGTTGCCCCTTTGTGGACGGCAGCAGAAATAATTGCATGGGTCAGAAAAACCTAGCAACCGGAAACAGCGACGTCCCCATAATTTCAGTATAGGTGGGGCTTCCCGGGGGCTGGCTGTGTAGCCGTGGAGGTTAGCACAGCCTAGCGCTCTATTTACTTGGCAAACATTTCACGAAGCGCTTGCTCTGAGCCGGCGTGCCCGGCATTGCTCCAAGCGCTTTACAGATTTACGCACTATAACTCTAAAATCATCGTTGCTATAATCCCCATTTTTAAAAATGTGGAAACTAAGGGCCAGAACTGTTAAGTAACTTGCCCCAAGGTCTCACAGCTAAAAATAAATAAATAAAGTGAAATAAATGGAAGATGGGCCAGATTTAGCCGTCACTGAATGGAAATATTTAAGAGAATTTGCTCTAGCTTCTGAATCTCTCCTGAGTTCAGACATACCCTGAAGTCAGTACCTCCCTACCTCCTCGCCACCCCGCCCCATCCAGTCTTGACTGTCAACTGGCAGGATGACAGAGCAATGGTGTAGACTTAACCTGGCTTCACCTACCTGGAGTAAAGCCAAGTTCTTGTGCACCCAAGATCTGCTTTCTGTTGTAGATACTGTTCAGATTCGGCCTAATTGGTTTGAAGACCAGAAAAAAAAGAAAACCAGAATCTTTCTCATTCAAACTAGTTGCCAGCACATTTTTCAGGCCACCTGCCTTCAAATATAAAAGGAAATATTGAATGTAATGTCACTATAAATTTAAGTTCCTGTAAATATAAAGTCCTGTAAATTCACACACACAACACACAGGCATTCTGTCTCCCAGGGGCACAAAGTTGTTTAAAATTTGCAGATAGGATTCTTAAGCACAAAAATCCTGTTTGCTATTGGGTTTTGTTGTTGGTTTAGTCTTGTTTTTTAGTGGTTTGTTCGCTTGCTTTCTCAAATAAAGATACTCAAATTACATATTCTTCTAAAGAATTTCTTAAGCAGTTGGGCCAAGATAAATACGAATATCATTCATTGTTGAAGGACAGATTCACACTTTAGAAGAATCAAGAATGTCTTTGAGGTTAATCAATCTATCAATAATTATTTCTTAGCAGACTTCTCGGGGGCATCATGTTCAGGTGGCAATTATTTATAGGGCAACAAGGAGATTATATTTCCTCTACTAAAAGGCACTGCAAATTAAGTCACACACTTGCTGAGTGCCCACTGCAGGAAGTAATTCTGCTAGGGGACCAGGAAAATATAAAGAAAATAAAAAGCTTGTCCCTGCTCTTCTGGAGGCATCATTTCACTTATTAAATGTTTACTGAGTGCCTAGTATGTACCAGGCAGGGTACTAAGTGGTTAGGACTCAGTAGAGAATAAGAGACATTTGAAAAAGTCAATTAAATCAGCATTCAGGGATGAGATAGCACAGTTCCTGCGTAGGGAATCTAACAATCTTGCTTGGGAGATAAAATTCCCACCCATTAAACAATTAGAGACTAATTCAAGGTGGTAGTTAATCAGTTGCTAAATGGGGTAGTGCAGACTGTGTCATAGCAATAACAACAGTATAAACCTACCAACAAATTAACAAATCATAGGGGCCAAGCTTCTTTAAACAAAGATGACACAGTATTTTCTTCTTCTTTTAAAGGTAGAGAGGGTATCGACAGTGAGAAGGTACTGGATTTGGATGAGAAGTGTGTGTTGCTCTCTCTACTGAAGCCACAAAGGCGCTAGGGAACCAGCAAACACTGAATATACCACTCTCAGACAGGTCAGGGACCAGAAATAAACCCTCCACCTCATGTCATCTTTGTCTCAGGTACAGAAGTGTCTGGCTGTCAAATGCACAACAGGAATGCAACTTGCTAAACTAAGGTACAGTGTCGTGCATCACCCCCAAAAACCCGAGTCGAGGAGAAAGTTCATTGCTTTGGAAGAAAAGCTCATTCCTAGAATTATAGCTGCTTCTATTTTCAAGCCAAACAGAAACTCCAGTTAAGACAATGGCTTACCTTTCTCCCCAGGTTTCCTGTCTCATCTCCAAGCCTTTCCCTTTTCCTGCCACCCAAAAGCTCTTGTCTCTCCTTTCCTCATGCCAAACTCCATTAAAATTCTACACTGAGGTCCTTTTCCTCAGCACCTACCAACTCCTATATACCTCTTAACGTTCAAACTTCACGATTTGCCATTTATTTACATAACGTCTTTACCCTCACGTTTCCACCAAGTCATGACTTCCAATGTCTGATGGGCAGCCCTGAGCTATATAGTCAGCCAACCCTGGTACAAATGGCAACTCCACCACTTTTCAGCTTTGTGACATGTAGGCAAATTCATCTGTCTTCAATTTACCCACCTGGAAATTGGGGACCCACTAATGTGCCCTACGAGGTTGCTACTGGCGACAGGAGGGTGAAAGAGTAAGGAAGGCCGTTGCGCGACAGGAAAGAGTAAGCAAAGCCTTTGCGCGGGCTGGCACACAGGTACGTCGCCATCCCTTGGGAAGGGCTGGCCCCAGGCTCTGGGCATGCATTCTATGTATGTTCTTGGCTTAGGACAAACGCATCGCACTGTGTCCGCCCCTGTTGTTTGACTTGTCTTCCCGCAAATAACTCCAAACTCTGGGGGCGCGCCCAGCACCGATGCACAGCAGGATCCGCGCACTCGGCCCCTCCCTCCTCCCAGAGGCAAAGCCGCCCTTCCCAAGAATCACACTTCCTCCCCATCTCCTTCTCCCCGAGCTTCCCCGCAGCCGGGACAGCCCACGACACGCCTCCGGCTCCAACTCGCAGAACCGGTTCCCGGCCGGGAGCGACGCAGCGCGCCTGCGCTGCCGGCACCCTCGCGCATGCGCGCTGCCGCGCCGGCGTCCCCCAGGTGCGCGAGTTCTCAGGCTCCCGCGCTTCCGGGACGCAGTGATCTGCGGTTCGCCCGGCTTCCGGCTCCCACTCTGGGGCGGCGCGCCCGGGCGCTCGGCCGCTCGGCCGCTGCGCGGTGATGTCACCGCGTGGGCGGGCGCGGCGGGCAGTCTGTGGGGAGCGCGGCGGGCGTGGAGTGGGAGTCGGGATGTGGGCGGAGAAGTGGGGAATTCCAGCCCGATATGAGTCGGGAGGGGCCTTCGCCTGCCTCTCGCCCGCCTGCGGAGGTTTTAACCTAAAGAGCGAGTTGCAAGTAACAACTCTCGGCTTCTTCTGGGTGACCCTGAAATGTTTGGGCTGGTGGAGCACCGTGGACCACCCAGCTTCTCTTGCTCTTCATGATTAAGCCCCTCGGAGAATTAATTGCGAAGAGTTGCCTTTCCTGGAAACCCTGTTGCATACCCTCCACAGAAGCTTGCAACGTAGTTGATATCCCAAGAACTGGAAACCTCTCCAGAATGAAACAGAACAATGTGATGGCTCCAGGATTCAAACAGTGAAGCCCTGGCATGTAAATATGGTCCTCAAATTGCTGAATAAATTAAAGCACTAAGAAAGGAAGTGACTCAGTGGAAGTAACTCATTATCAAGATCCTTGCTCCCTAAACCCAATAAAGTGAAGGATATTCTTCAACTGTGGTTTAGTGAAGATGGAAACACTTACTGCTTTTTTCTCTGGGAATGAAGAAAGCAAATCTTTTTTAAAAGTGTCCTGCATCCAGGACAGGAAATAAAAAACTTCAAAATTAACATTTTCTGAAGCTGTGTTACATAAATATTATTGAACACATGATATCTGATAAGTCCCAAAACACTAGGAGTGTTGACACTTCCAATAGAAAGAGGACTAGAATTGTGATGCGACAAAAGATAATCACAATTGAACATGATGAGAAAATGAGGGCTGTTTCATTTGCACATAGATGAATTGTTGGATAGTAATGACAATTATGAAGATGAAAGACCAATTATGCAACAGATAAAATATGCTAATCATATGCACTTGAAGAGACTTAAAAAGTCATTGATGAAATGGAAAAACTTTTGAGTATGATGGAAGAGTCTAAGATGCTAAATCATGTGTCTGCTAACCTAATCTTAATCCACAAAAGAACAAGTGTTTGTTCTAGAACTAAAGTTTAGGACGGTGAAATATTTTTCAAAGTATGGTCCCATGGGTTCAAGGCATTGATCAGATGTTCATAGCACAACAAAAACTGTTAAAGCTGATAAGCAAACTTGGAAAAGTTGTTACAACCTGAGAAAAATCAGAACTGAGGCAACCATAACAATGGAGGAAGAGTTTAATATTGCAAAGCAGTTGAGTAAGGAGGATGGGTGATATTACTGAAGTTCTCCTCCCCCAAATTCAAAGGATAGGATTTTCAAAGGGAATTTGGTAGGTGGTAGGATAGGGGCTGCTGACTGGTTGATGCTGTCATGGGATGTTGTGGAGACTGTCTTTCTGGCCTTGAGTTGATTTCTGGGAAAAGGTATCACAGGACAGGTAGAGGTCGCTTCTTGATACTCTAAGTCTGGGTGGGGTCTCTTGGCCCATCTAAGTTTAAAAAATATCTCAAATACCATTCTCAGGTTTTGCAATAGATACTATCTATGAAGCTACTGCCCTCCCCTGCCCCCCATTCCTCCCCACCTGCAGGCCATAAGCCACTATGGAGGTAGTTTAGAAAGAGGTATGGAGGATGTGGGATCCCTGGAGATTAAAGTCACTTTTGTCCTCAAGCAGCCTTAGGCTCATTGTGTAAGACAGCATGTGCTTATGATAGGGGCAGCTTTCCCCCCTCCCCAGGGGTCAGGACTTGAAGATGATTAATTGCCTTCTATTGGAGTGAGAGCAAACTTAGAAAAACAAAAATTCTAACTGTGGTCACTGCTTTTCATGACTCTGTAGCTTTTACCCCATGGCCTGATAATTATATATAGACAATTTCAAAGTTGCAGTTTATAAAATCAATATACAAAAGTCAGGACCATTTCTTTAATATAACAATGAACTATCCGAAAATTGAAATTAAGAAAACAATCTTATTTACAATAGCATCAAGAAAATTAAATTAAATACTTAGCAGTAATTTAAACAAGGAGGTGAAAGAAAACTATAAAACATTGGTGAAAGAAATTGAAGAAGATACAAATAAATGGAAAGATATCCCATGTTCATGGATTGGAAAAGTAAATATTGTTAAAAATGTCCTTATTATTCAAAGCGATCCACAGATTCAGTGCAATTCCTCTTAAAGTTCCAATGTCAGTTTTCACAAAAGTAGGGGGAAAAAATTCTAAGATGTGTATGGAACCAGAAAAGACCCCAAATACCAAAAGCAATCTTGAGGGAAAAAAAAAAAAAGCTAAAGGCATCACCCTCCTTGATTTCAAAATATATTTAAAAGTTATTATAATCAAACCAGCATGGCAATGGCAGCAAAACAGACACATCAACCTATGGAACAGGATAGAAATCTTAGAAATAAACCCAATTATTTATGGTCAGTTGATTTTGGACAGAGGTGACAAGAATGCACCATGGGAAAAGGACAATCTCTTTAATAAATGGTGTTGAGAAAACTGGGTCTCCACATTCAGAAGAATGAAATTGGACACTTATTTCATCATATACAAAAACTAGCTCAACATTTATAGAAGACTTAAACATAAAGACCCAAAACTGTAAAACTACTAGAAGAAAACTTA